ATAAAGAATTTTTAATAATATAATTAAACTAATATAAAATTTTAGTACAAATTCACAATAAGACTATTAAATACAGTAAACTAAAGAATTAAAAAATCAGAAGTTTATTTAGAAAATTTTAAATAAAGAATTTTTAATAATATAATTAAACTAATAAAAACTTTAAAAGACTTTTTAAAAGAAAAATTAAATAAACTAAACAACAAATATATAAGAGAAGCATATACACCAACCAGGTTGCAAAATTTGTTAAAAAAAAAGAATATTAAAGTATATTATATTAGATCATCTAAATTGGTAGTTTAAGAAGTTCTGTTGATCTTGAATAAAGAAAAGTTAGTAGAATAGTAAGTCACAAAAATAGGTACTAAGTTTTAATAAATTTTATAAAAATAAAAATAATATAATATAATAGTTTAATAAATAATATTTGTAATTATAAGTATTAGTCTAATTATAGTATAATACATAAAACTAGATTAACTATATATAAGATACAAAAGATTCTAAAGTAGTTTTAAGAGTAATAATATATATTAGATACTTTGAATAAGTGTAACTTTGAAGATGCTATCTTGAAACAAGATAGTTGATATATGCAAAAGATTTAAATAGGCAAAATTTGTAGTTAACTTGCAAGTATAACATCTAATATAGAATCTATATAGTAATATATAAATAAACTACTTAAATTAAACACCAAAAGTGCATATATAGTTAGTTGTAACTTTCTATGTAAAAATGCTTTTAAAAGCATTCATGTATAATAAACTTGAATAAAAAACATCATTTTTTAAAAGCAAAGACTTCAACTTAAAAAAAAGAAAAGTAAAACTTTGCTTTAACATCAAAACAAATATATATAAAAAATTAAATTACTCTTATTAATAATTCTTTGATCAACAATACTAAAAAACTGAACTATAAAAAAATACTATAAGAAAATAATACTTCTAATTCTATGTAAAATAGATTGTTTGTTAATTAAGTTAAAAAATATAAAATATCAAGAAACATGCATATTTTTGATAGTTTATACTTTAAGTTAAGCTTTTTTTTTTCTTTAACAAATTCTTTAATATATTTAATATTCAAACTAAAAGAATATTCTAAAAAACAAACTTTAATTAATTACAACTGCTATTATTATTTTAACAATAAAAAATAAAGTTTGTTAAATATATTAAAAATTGAACTTTGCAAAAATTTAATTAGTTAATTAAAAAGTAAATATATTATGCTAACAATAAATTACTAAAATATGTATATTTGTATTACTAATATTTTTTAGTTTTACTGCAGTTAAAAAAACTAACGTTTTTTTTTGTAAAATTCAAAATTTGTATATTTCGTATTTTTTATACATGAAATTTTTAATAATAAAAGGTTTGATTTTTTTTCAAATAGAAGACTCAATTTAATATGTAGTTAATAAAGAAATATATTTGATTTATAATATAACTTTTTTTTACACAATATATAATTTGTATAAACTGCACAATCAAAACTTAGGACCAAGTAGAATGTAACGAATTTTTGGTCTATTATATAATAAAATTTTCCATTCTATCCCTTATCCGTATATTATTATATTTGACTAGATTTCTAGTTTAGCATATATTAATATACGTATAAAATATATGATTAAAAAAATTCAAAATAAAAATATATGTACTACTACACAAACACATGCACTTCAAATTATAAGGTAACTTATCAAAGTAATCGTTTAAAAAGTCGCAAAAAATTGAAGCCATTGTGTAATGTAAACCTTTTATATTGCACCATATATAATTTTAATCTTCACTATATTTTGTAAGGTAAATCAGAATTTATATAGTTAATAGATAATAAATATATATCGTAAATTAGTTGATGTTAAATAAATATCTTATTAACCAAAAAAATTAAAGCCTATAATTACGATAGAGTTGCAACTCAAGATCTTCAGTTTGTTTGAGAGAGCTGGAATTTAAATCAGCTCTAACCAGATCCAATTTACCCTAATTGGATTAATAAAGATACCATTTTGTTAATAAGTGATAGATTAAAATTTAGAGTTGAACGCCAAATTACTTACCGAGAATCTGGTTTAACGTGCCAAAAATCTCAAATTATGTAAAATTACAACTAAGATTCTGAAACAATTTAAACAGTTTAACCTGATTTAGAGTTAAGGATGACTTGATTTAGAATTATAGTTGGTCAATCTTAATTGTTGGCGAAATCCAACATAACCCAAAGACTATCGATTGAACAACCTAGAATTCTCGATTAACTGGAATTTTTTAAATTCTGAGATGATTCCAGAAGTTTAAAATTCGGATTTATCTGAAAAAGAAATTTCGACTCTAGAGATGTTTTATAGTCTAATTTCATCAAGTACAGTAAATTCAATTATTATAAATAGTTATATTAGTTGCTTACGAAGACAAAGGTCATATTGAAAGTCAGCGATTTCCTTAGGGCAATTATTGTATGACTTTAACTATAAGGTTGCAGTATTTTAATTTCCGTCGTGCTTAGTAACTAGATTTGTAAAAAAACAAATAGAAATTACTAATTAATAATATTTTTGAAGATGTAATATTTAAATCAGTAGCTCGCATTTACCTTAATTCTATAATAATCCGAATTAAACTTAGAATATATTTGATAAAAAAACGTAATCAACATTTGTGAAATACCAACCCATGACTCGTTATTAATCGAAATTCTTCAAACAACGATTTTCACGAATTCTCAATTGCATTTTCTTCCATAAAAAGTTAACACATCACTCTGGTTATATCTATATCTGTATACAACGACAACTGACTATAACAATTTTTAAAACTTTGACCATATAACTTATTATGATACCTCCGGTGAAAGCGACATCTGATAGAGTGTCGATATAACCAGAGTGTTGTGTATTTAGAACCCTTTATGGTATTCTACATAGAGGTTGGAGTAATTAAATTCGAATTTAACATCGGAATATTAAAATTTCATTCGGGTATGGCTTCTAGTCTATAATCAAACGGTTCGAAGAGCGTCCTTAAATTTCATAATAAAGGCGTATTAGAAGTTGTTTTATCAAATGCATCTTAAACTATCTGAAAGTTATAGTTAAAAAAAAAAAAAAAAAAAAAAAAAAAAAAAAAAAAATGAAAGGGTATAGCCCGATTTTTTTTATCCCCCGTGACTTCCTGTCCCCCGAGCCCTAAAATTTTTTTTTTCCCTCAAGTTTGAACCTGATTCAGAAAAAGAATTTTATTCAAACGATTAAGCAAAACAAATAATTAACTTATAAGTTTTTAAAAAAGAATGAATGTTAATGGTTGTTCTATTCTCAAACAGATTTACAGATTTTGAGAAAAACTGCTTACCAAAAGGATAAATAAACAAGAATTTTCTGAACCGTTTACATACGTACTATGGCGAACAAGGAAAGTATTGTTGTTTGGAAATTTTCCAAGAATTTCGTATTATCAATCTGAATTGGGTCAGAATTTTGCAATTTTGAAATTAATTATTTAATGTTTCAGGCACCATTCAATTGCTTTTTGATATTTGTGTGCAAAAATTGAAAAGCAACGAAGTCGACCATATGGCAAGCAATTATGCAGTTAGTTGTCGAATAAAGTATTTATACTTTGTCACGTGATATGCGTAAGTAAGTGAATAGTATATAGTGATTCGTCCAGAAAGAAGTTTTCTATACGTACATACATTGTTTTTCTGGTTACAATGTAGAACGTTTGTTGAATAATGTTACAGGACATTATCAAAGATAATCTTTTAAATTAGGTAAATACTTTGTTATATATAGTGACAAAGAAAAAAAATGAACTTACTAATCGGAAATTCATTTCAACAAGGGCTGGAAAAATGAACATATATATTAATTCATTGACGCCACCTTTAAATGTTGGTAAAAATAAATATATAGATAAAAATAAGTATATTCTTAACTTATGATAAAAATATTTTATGTTTGTCCTCTTTTTTACAAGAAATGCATGATATCAAAATTGTACGTCGGCAATCGACGAAAATTTTTCTAAAAACGGAACAACGCAAAACACATATTCCTTGTTTTTGGGAATACAAATTTTCCTTAGCAGGTATTATACATGGATTTGGGACGTACTATGTGGTACATGGTTCAATAAGTATAAACTATCTTAATTGTTTCCAAATATGTACTAGTGAGTTTCTATTTTGGAACTTGACCAAGGTTCCGTGCATTTTCAATATTTCGCGTTCCTAAAAATTCGCCAAATATCGAAAGAACTGCAAGAACTGCACAAGCAGAAATGGTTTAATTATGTAGATATCAATTGTGTTAAGTTTTAATTATTATTAATTAGCAGTGGGTTAATGTATGCTAATATATGCTATAATTATATTTTGTCAAAAAAAAAGGAGTTTCCTTTTTTTGAATTCAAATAACTGAACGTGTTCTAAAAATTGATATTGTTTCAAATTGCATGGTTGATTTTACATTCAAATTTGGTATTTCGGCGGATACACGATTAAAATAAATTCAATATTTTAATTAAACTATTTAATTAAACTATATATGCAGAAAACAATCCTTAAATTTTATTTACTTAGTGCTCAAAAAGTACAATACGTTTCAAATTGACAATTATCAGTAAAATTTTTATGGTTTGAAAACATGAACAGATGGGTTTCGAGTCCTCTCAACATTTCATAAAGAAACAATAATATTTTTTTGAATACAATATTTAAGAAAATTTATTATATCAAGCTTAATAATGATAATTTAAACCCTAAATATCTCTAAGAAACTCAAAAATACATACTTTTCTCTCACAAAATAATTGCTTATTACTATTACTTACAAAATGTAGCTTTTGTTTTTTGTTCATAACTTGTGATTGCCTCTCTACTATGCATTACTAAATATGTAATAATTACAAATATGATCTGAAACAAATAGTTCTATATATATGGATATAATCATGTTATCAAAATGAAATAAAGTAATTTTATACTACATCATTGGTATTTTTCAATAAAATATTAAATAAATTTTCCGTTTCCAAAGCGATATTGCATTCAATAGATTCAATAGGAAAGACTTCTGCGGAAGGATAATTAAAATATTGTGACATAGTGGTGTCAACAAAAGGCATAGTCAAAGTTGTGTCGATACCAGCATATTCGCTGGAATAGAGGGGAAAAGTTTCTGTTGACTGCATTTCATAGTTTTGACAGATGAAATTACCTGTTGTAAATTGCTCGTTCTGCTGGAGTAAGTCAATAAATCCTATAATGTGATCCAAAGATTGCGATTCAACCATGAACTGTGTTTCTTGTGACGTATTATTTATTTCATAACTTTCCTGAGGTGTGTCAATACTGAGCGTTAGCATTTGCTCTTCCAAAGAAGACTGCATTTGGGGAGCTATAATGGATGAGAATGGTGACCATGGTGATTCCCTTCCCCTCCTTTCTTTAGATTCTTCAGGCAAAATGCTAGGTTCTTTTTCTTCTTCTTTTGACCTTGGTTTAAATTTAT